TCCTCCTCCTCCTCCTCCTCCTCCTCCTCCTCCTCCTCCCTCCCTCCCTTCAATTCTCTGTGTCGCAGGATCAAGGCCTGGCCGGAGCTGAGATCGTAACAAAATCATGTCCTTCATGTCTGTTAAAGGTTTATTCATCAACAAAAAACAACGAAATTGAGACCTGCACCTCATCAGCCATCACCTCAGACATCTCAACAACTTCTGCTTTCCCGCTGTCATCATGACTTCCTTCATCTTGCAAGGGAAGTCAGCCATCAGCAACATGTGCATCATCGTCAGCATCACCTGCTTCCACCACCTTCTCCTAAAGTACATCAGTAAGGCAACCAGAACTGGCAGGATCGCCAGGACTTTAATGAGGGGCAATGCCCCTCCGCCGCCATTGCCCCTTGCTCCTGCTCCCTGCGTCCTACCTCCTGCACCTGCTCCTGCTCCTGATTGTCTTCTTCCTTCGCTGACCACCTCTTCTCCAATCTCGCTCCCTCCTGCCGCCGTTTCCCTCCATCCCTCCAAGTTTTCCTTCAACAGCGTCAGGGACCGAGCAAGAAGGGGACTGGATGCAAGCGCACCAGCAGGGTTCGCCTCTCCCTCCTTCTCCTCACGTGCTCACACTCTGCTTGCAACCTCCTGTTTCATCCTCGTCATGGCACGAGCACAAGCATGTCAAGCTCTTACCTGTCGAGCTGTAAAGTGAACCTCCATAGGTAGAAGAAATGGGATCTGTAACATAACAAAAGTCATTCAATTCTAGAACTCAACCTCGTCCTCGTCCTCGTCTCCGTCCTCGATATTTCTGTTCACTCTGTTCCTCTTCCTCCGTTCACCTCGTCTGCCTTGTGCGCAGTGTGATCTCGTGATGGAGTGAAAGATGTTTGACAGCCTTCGCCACCTGCCAGGAATCCATCAAACTTGAAATCACTTGTTTCTCACGTCGTGCACACCACACCACACAGCACTTAGCACAGCATTTAACTCTGCACGACACACGATGATATTTCAAGACAAGATAACATAAAGAAGCAATAATCTATCCACCCATCTAGCTCCCAGAAGCAACTTCTTAACAACCTCGTATCCTGTTCTTGTGCATGAAGACCAGACGCTCAGAGCGGCTCTCTTGGCCTGCAGGTCTCTGTTCCTCGTCAGCAAGCGAGGGGGGAGGAAGTGCATATCAAACTCACCGGCGAGAAGTCCGCGAGTGAAGCATCGCACTAGCATGACCAGCGTGAGAGGCGGGCAGGAGAAAAGTGCCAAGGTAGGAAGGAGAGGGAGGGGGTAACTAGATGTGGCGGGGGAAGTAGAGGAGGAGGAGGAGGAGGTGTCGAAGGGGGGGAGTGCCGCAGGAAAGGGGAAGAAGGCGGCGCAGGGCTCGAGATGAGAAGGAGCTGGAGGAGAAGAAGTGAGGGGAGGCAGAGGGCTCAAGAACCTGAAGTTCTGATCGAGAGACTGCCCCCTGACGAGCCATAGGGCCCACAAGCACAGATGGGCTCGCTCAGACTTCACCGACCTCTCGACAACTTCGCGGCTGCCCAGCACCACGATCGTCAGCCTCCCCGAGGAGATAGAGGGGCAAGGAGCGGGTCAGTCACCAGGCCTTCTTCTTCCTCCGCATCAGCACATACTCCGTCCAGCCCGCAAGGATGCAGGTCAAACTCCTCCGCTGCAGCCTGCCTCCGCTGCTGCCGTGCGCTACATATCAGTCCCGCGCAGCTACCCCTCCCGACTCACGCTATGGCTCTCTGTCGGTGCTGGCAGGCTCTCGCCAGCTCGTGCTGCAGCGCATGAAAGCATCCTCTCATCAAGTCCCTGCACGGGGCGATCAGAATGCTGCACGCGCTCTTGTGCTGCTTCCACTACCTTGACAACAAGCTGTCCAGCTGACGTCTCACCCTTTCATATTTCAATCGGAGTTTGCCCTGGGCAATCAGGATCACAGAGAAACCCTCGTCCTCGCTCTTCCTTGTCTTGCTCACATCACAGTTGCAGTCGTAATTCAGCTGTTTCTCAACCTTCTTGAGCTTGAAGCTAGCAAGAATCCGATCCTATCGACACCCGTCAGAATCTCCTCGCTCCCCTGCTGCCATGGACCTGTAGAGCATCCTCCAGACATTCTCTGGCCTCCTCCAGCTTCGCCTCCAACAACACGTTCGCCTGCCGGAGCTCCTCCGCCTCCCTGAAGAAGGTTCGTCTCCCGTCCTCCTCATTCATCAGCTTCAGGTTCAGCCCCTTGATCTCGATCTCCAGCTGCGCCATGTGACTCAGCCTGTGCTGCATGTGCTCCATCTTCTCCTCGAGCCGGCTGATCGTCCTGTTCTTCACCTTGAGCTGGTTCTGCGCGATCTCTGCCTTCTGCAGACTCCTCTCTGACTCAAAGATCGCCCTCTCCAGTTTCATGTGGAGGATGTCGAAGTTCTGCTTGGACACCTCGACGGTCCACGGAGAGCTCGGCTCCTGCCATGAGAGAGACGCCAAGTCGGACGATCTTGAATCGTTCACAACATCCGCCTCCTCCGCTGCCTCGACTACTTCGCTCGTGTCCGATGAATTGAACTCCTCCACGAGTTGTTCCTGTGGCAGAGGGCCGCACGGGCTGCTCTGCATGTCCTTGCTCGCGACAATTGGCGAATGCCCTGGTAGTGTAAGGCTATCGGAGGATGGGCTGTCGACAGGAAGAAGAACCATCACAGCGGAGCAAGAGCTGGCTCTGTAGACGAAGCCTACGTTCAAAAATTTCCTTCAAGTCCAGCGCGATATGAAGAGACTTGCGGCGAGAAGTTTACCATACTCTCTTGTAACGCTATCAATCAGAAGGTTGTTCCCTGCATGCCATCGCTCCCCTGCATCCCACGCGCCCAGTTCCCTTGCAACGGCATTTTCGTATGCAGAAGAATGTTTGTGGCGAAAGTTTGGGTCGAAACTTTACGTGTGAAATTTACTTCAAAGTTTTTATCCACGCGATGGAATTTTGAAACTTTTCACCCCACCCTCCCCTACAGGCCCCCAAGTCAATCAGATCCCCTCTATCTGATGCAATTTGTACGGGTACTTGTACTGAAACGTATCGTAATGCTTCCACCAAAGGGTGGTCATAGAATTCCTTTCGTTGCGCGCTCATTTCTCCCGCTGCACAGCATATATTCTATGTACAATTGAAACTTAAGTATGAAATTTCAAAAACAATCAAACATTTTCGAACCTTACTTTGACAAAGGGTCGCATGTACTAAGAATGTACCCCTACCCCCTACTTCTATTACCCACCGGTTATAGTATCATTGAATGTGATGTCAGATATGGGGTGTTGACCAATTGTTGAGTACCCCTACCCTATGATGATAAACACCACTACCTGCTAAACCACCCACCATGCATTCGATATAACCCTCACAATTGGGGTCACTACCCACCCCTCGGAAATTAGCCCAACTCCAGTGGGTACCCGTCTGAATAAGCAAAACCACCTGGTACTTTGAAGATTTAAATTGCACCATTCAATCCGACTACCCCCATTCCATCCTATACTACCCCCAATTTGTGTTCGCAATGGCGCCGGCTAAACGTTTCCTCTCCTCTCATGCAGTCGCTGGTGGCGGCGCTATGGTGGCGCGTGAGATCGCTATCGCTCTCACTCTCGGTCTCGGTGCTGCCTTTGCTGTCCGCAACCGACTGCAGCAGGATGTTGAGCCATGGGCGGCAAGGAGCAAGTCATTTGGCAAGTGAAGCACTCTGGATGGAACGGTAGGCGTGCTCAGCCCCTGATGGTTTCTTTGACGCTGTTTGAGTTTGCAATGATGCCGGGCTTTCTTGATGATTGATCTATGTAGTTTTAATACAGCCCCATCATGAACTTAGATGCCGCTCTCGTTTGGCCATGGAGGGTGTGTGAAGGAGCAGTGCTGTGCTATCAGGGCCTAGTTTGTCAACAGGGGAGAGGAGCAGGAATGCGATTTCAATTGATTGTGCAATGTGTCTGCTTTCTACTGTTTTGCACTTGACGCGATGGTCACACTCTTCTTGCCTGATCAACGCAGAAGTCTCAGGAACACCCAAGACCGGGTCGCACTGTCCAACGTTTCTCACCTCCGACTCTTTCCAACCCAGTTGTTGATCGTTCGGCAACCTTCAGAGACACGTGAACATCATGCAAGTGAGGAGGGAGCATGGCATACGCTCTCGAAATACTTCATCATCTTCTCCTTCGAGTCATCGAAACCCTTGACCGCCTCCTGCGGAATCGGATTGAGCCGCGACTGGGTCTAAAGGCGAGGATCACCGTCATGACAAGGAAGCCTTCCTCCTCCTCCTCGATGGTTGTCCCATCCTTCGATACCTGCTGAGGGCATCAGGATCATCCCGCCCGCTCGCACTTCTTACCCGCTCAACGCGGTTCCTCCGCACTCGAACTTCCTTGTCCTGCAGGAGAAAATGACGACAAGAGTTGAGGAGGGGGTAGAAGGGGTTGATAGCAGGTTTAGAGAGCAGAGAGCAGGAGCAGGAGCCAGGGCAATGAGCAGGAGGGAGGTTTCCGTTGACAACCTGTACCGACACGATGTATTCGTCTCGCTCATCGGGGATCCTTGACAGCACCTGCATCGCACGCTCGTCACGATGCTCGAGGTCGAGCTCAAAGTTCTCACCGTCCCCCTCCTAACGTCCACGTCGTTGGGTCCCGGCAACACCTGTTGCGAGCGGGGAGAGGATGAGCGATGCAGAGGGCATGAACTTTCATCCTCTGGCTTACGTTGACAGCGGCGCCCTCCTCCAGGTGGGATAGAGGGACGTGCTCGCCGCGGATGCACAGCTCTTCCAGCATGCCCTCGAGGGACTTCGAGACGATCTGACACAGCGGATGGTCAGATCCTGATACCCCAAGTCGTCGGGCAGGACATTGTTGGCGATGCGCTCAGGGATGCCGACGTTGCTGATGACAGACACGAACACGTTGTATAGCAGCTCCCATGCCTCCCTGTCCTCTCACGTGAGTTCAGCAGGGAGCCACCAGAGCGGCGCTTGCCTGTTAGGCACCATATGAATGAAAGCACCCTTGACTAACTCCCCTGACCCCTCCTTCAATCCCTCCTGCCACGGTGTTACACCGCTGGTACAAGCTCCTCCTCCTCCCACCTTGACATCTATGGAGGGACGGAAGACGTTTCGAGGAGAGATCCCGAACAAGCCCGCCAGCCTTTCCGACGCAACTCCAGCAACACAGGAGAGCACAAGGGTTGTGCTCTTCAGCCTCCCCCGCACGTCCCTCGCTACAGCATTCAGGCTCGACGGGGGGCAGCAGACGATGACAAGGTCGGCTCTGCTCGCCACCGCCGAGTTGTCCAGCATGGCGGTGACCCCGAGCTTCTCGTAGGCGCTCAGCTTCTGGGGTCGCCGGGTGGACACGATCACGTTCCCGCCGTCGAAGCTCTCGCAGCGCAGTAGGGACTCGAGGATCTTGGTTCCGATTTGCCCCACCCCTATCATCCCCAGGGTGAAGTGAGGGCCTCCGCTCTCCACAGACCGAGGGATTCCTCGCTCTGCATCCCAGATGCTCATGCTCTCCTCCTTGAACGAATACTGGATCCTCAGCTTCACCTCTCCGATCGTCCCATCGTTCCTCACCAGCTTGAACCACTCCCGCACGTTCTTCTGGCTCTCGAACCGTCGGATGGGGATGGCAGCATGCCCGAACAGCTGCTCTCGCTCCAGGCTCCCCTCCTCTGCTGCCTCGTTGAGGTACAGGAGGTCCACATAGATGAGAGACGTCGGCCGCTTCACGAAGAACTCAAAGTCCTGGTTGATCCTTGCGGGCTCTAGCGTGTCGTCGAAGCTGCGGATGGGAGTGAACTTGGTCGTCGACCTTGAGAGTCCCTCGATCGAGAGCCTGGCGACAAGGCATGGGATCTGGTTCTGATCAAAGTCTGAGGTCTCCAGCCTCTTGTACTCCAGGTTCCTCACTTCGATGACCCAGCACTTGATGTTACCATAGAACTTGCGAGAGTTCGACAGCTCCTGCCTCAAGAGTTGCCTCCTGAAGATGTAGGCCTGCGTGAGCGCCTTGTGGAAGCAGCACGAGAGATACAGGCACTGCATTGGGAAAATCTTCAGCATGTAGATCATGTCGTCATAGTACTGTTTGACGGTGCCGTCCACCGCCTCGACCGAGATATACTTCTCGAGAGAGCCAAACAGCGACTCGAAGTTCACGTCCTCCTCGTCCTTGGATTGCAGCAGGTCCATCGTTGCTCTTGAACCTACCTTCTGGTAGCTACCACCTTTGAATCCCGGCCTTGATGACAACTGATCTGTTCTGTTCTCGGAGACTACAAGTGCGAGGAGACATGCATCTTCTCAGGACAGACAGGATGTGTCAGCTGATCCTGCTATCCTTCGCTGCTCTGCATGCTCTACGTTTTCCTGCAACCATCGCCGCGTCGCCATTGCCCCCGGTGCTCCCCAACCATGCCGGCACTCACTGTCCTCAGATGTACATTCCCGTGAACCGGGTGCGCCTCACTGAGTGTTGAATGTGGCCATTAAAGGGGTGGGGGTAGAATAATTGTCCAAGACTACCGGTAACCATCAATACCAAAACAAGGGTGATAATTTGCAAATTTGGGTAGGGGTAGTGCTAACCTGGAGCCGTTGGTATGGCAAAGTCGTAGATAGAGGGAAGGAGAGGAGGGGAGGAGGAGAGGAGGAGAGAAGGAGAGGGGGAGAGGAGGACGCAAGTAGAGGAGGAAAGTGAAGGATGACTGCGGGGCATGGCAGGACAGGAGATAGAGGGTCGAATCAAGTAGGATAGGACGGCATCAGATCTGGACATGTCGGAGAGCAATGGAAGGGCGCCAAGACGAGTTTGAAGTGAATCACGAACCATGGAGCAGGGAGCTTGACTGCAAGCAGCGTTCCATAACGGAGCCGATGGTGTGCTGCTGGGGCAGAGGAGATGGCAGAAGAAGAAGCCTGATGTGGAAGTGAGAGAGTAGTTTGCCAGTGTCGATAGTGATGTGCAACACCGACAAGAGGCCTTTGATGCTTCTCGGCGATGTTATCTTCACCTTATCGTGAGCAGTAGGAGAGCAGAGAAAAGTTGGAGAGTGATCGAAACATTTAGCTCTTAGTCCCTGCCCTGAGTTCGCATGCAACCTCGTGGTAGTTTTCAAAGTAGAAAACAGCATCGAAAGTGTGATGGCTGAATGTCAGAGCTCGACGGGTCTTGTTTTCGGAGTGATGACGTGTTCTAGTTCATGACAACGTGCTGAGAGTTCTGCACAGGCCAGCGGCAGAGAGCATGTAGACAACTGTCCAGGGAGCATGACGACTAACTGCTGAAGCCTTGAACATGGAGGAGACAGACGACAAGGGCAAGCTGTTTCGACTTGTCCGGATGGGCAAGACGAAGGAGGTGAAGGATGCGCTGGTCTCTGGAGCGCTCTCCGTGAACGATCGGGATGGGAAGGGAGACAGCTTGTTCCACATCGCGGCAAGGAACGGACACAAGAACATCATCCGAGAGCTGCTGCGCCGGAACGTAGACTTCAGGGTCAAGAATGCGGACGGGAAGCTGGCGTGGGAGCTTGCGGAGGAGTACAACTTCGGCGAGCTTGGCACTTACATCCGTGAGAAGACGGGGATGTCGTCCTCCAACCCCGAGGGGAGGAAGAAGTCGACGGCCGAGTCAACAGACGAAGGTGCCCCGGACATCGACGTGCTGGAGATGAATGGACCGAAGCAGCAGCGAGGTGGTGGTGGTGGTGGTAGTGGTGGTGGAGAGGAGGAGGAGAAGGATTGGAGGAAACGGGTAGACTTTGCCCTGCTATTGGAAGCAGCCAGGGACGTGGATGCCAGGCACCTGTCCTCTATCAGTGACCCTAAGTTCTGGGAGAAGATGGAGGAGCTGCAGGGGAAGCTGGGAGGGAGAAAGTCGGACGCGTCGAGTGAGAGGAGGCTGCAGGAAGTGGAGCTTGCGCTTGAGACCGTGTGGTCTCGCTATGAAAGCCTGAGGAAGGAGGAGGCGACGGGTCGGCTGCAGTCAGAGGTACTGTCGCTGCAGCGGAGGATGGGGCAGGGGAGCGACGTGGAGGCGGTGATCGACGAACGGAATGACCTGAGGGTGAAGCTCAAGGACAAGGAGGCGAAGCTGGAGCAGCTGGCGAGCAAGCTCAAGGCGATGGAGAGGGACCGTGGGGACGTGGAGCAGGTGCAGGAGAGGCTGTCGGCCGAGATGGAGGCGCTGCAGTCGGAGCTCCGGTCTGCGAAGAGGTTGAAGGAGAAGGCGGAGTTTGACCTCCAGCAGTCTGCCGATGCTCTGCAAGACAGGGAGATAGAGCTGCAGGCTGTGAGAAAGGAGCTGCAGCAGGAGAGGAGGTTGCTGTCGGGCATACAGGAGAACATCGGGAGCCTGCGGGGGATTCGTGTCAAGATGCTGTCCTCGGTTGAGCTGGAATCGCTTCTGGTGAAGCATGATAAGGACGGGTCGGGGGAGCTTTCTGCGGAGGAGCTGAAGCCGTTTGTGGAGGAGCTGTGCGAGACGATGGAGAGGAAGATGCAGCTGGCGAAGGAGGACGCGGAGAGGGAGGCGGCTCGAGCGGAGGAGAGGGAGAGGGAGAGGGAGAGGGAGCGAGCAAGAGAGAAGGAGAGGGAGGAACGGCTGCTGTCGCAGGTCAAGGAGCTGGAGAAGGAGTTGGAGAGGTCGCAGGGGGAGCATCAGAAGCATGTTGAGAGCCTGCAGGAGCGATCGCAGAAGCAGAAGCAGCACTTCGAGGAAGTGATCGAGAGCTTGAAGAACGAGCACGAGCACGAGATCACCAGCTTGAAGAAATCCTTTGACAAGACGATGGAATATGAGAAGGTCAGCGCTTGCCGCTATGCTCCCCTTTCCGCTCCTTCCTTCCTTGCTTCGTCTTCTCCTCCCTCGCTCTCCTTACTCTCGCTCCCTCTCACCGTCCTCTCCCCGCGCTGTCTCCTCCTCTCCTCGCATCCTCGAGCTCTTGCTCGATGTCTCTCTGCTCTGACGTCGGAGGGAGCAGAAGCTCAGCGAGGAGAGGTTGGAGGCCAAGAAGGCGATGATGGAGAAGGAGGCGAAGAGACTGCAGGCGCAGCTGGACTCTGCCATGTCGGAGCTCTCGGTGAAGCAGGAGGAGGCGAAGAAGCGAGAGGAGAGGCTCGAGGCAAAGAAGCGAGAAGCTTCGAAGCTGAAGAGCCTAGTGAACAGGTGAGAAGGGCAAGGAGGAGGCGTTGGGAAGGAGGACAAGGGGGAAAGGGGAGGAAGGGAAGGAGGAGGAGACAGGGAGGGGGAGGAGGGCGGGAGTCGAGGAGGTTGGAGAGGGGATGCGGTGGAGAAGGAGGGTGAGAGGATTGATTGTTTGCTCTCAGGCTCGAGAAAGAGGCCAAGGCCTCCAAGTCGCAGGCTGTGCTGCGGCAGGTGATGGGGCTGCGGCCGAAGCTGATGGAGACCAGGAAGCGCTTCCTCCTCCTCCGCTCCCACGTCTTCTCCACCAACGAGTCGGTCCAGAGCATGTGCGACGCCATGCTCGTGGAGATGCGAAACTACTGCAGCTTCATCCTCCCCCTCCCTCATGAGCAGCCCGAGAAGGTCCTCCTCCTCGTACTCCAACTTCACCCCTTCTTCATCGATTCTTCTCCCTACCCCCTTCTCCTCCTCTTCTCCCCTACTCTTCTCCTTCTACTCTTATACTCATCTCCTCCCTCCCCCCCTTCCCTACTTCTTCTTCTCTCTCCTTCCACCCCTCCGCGTCCTTCTCGTCCTTGTCGTCTATTCTCCCATGCTCTACCTCTCCTACCTCATCCTTCCTCCTCCCTCTCCTTCCCTCTCCCACTGTCTCCATCTCATCTCCAGATCCCGCAGGTCAACGCAGAGAAGCTCTCGGGCACGCAGCTGGTCGCTGGGCTCAAGCACATGCTGGGGAAGTACCGGGGGGCAGCTGAGCTGTGCCGGAAGCTCAACGTGGAGCTGCAGAACCTAAAGGGTTCTATGAGGATTCTATGCAGAGTCCGTCCTCTGAGACAGGTTTCCTCCCTCCCCTCCTTCCCCTTCCTCCCTCCCTCCCCTTCCTCCCCCCTTTCCCTTCCTCTCCTCCTTCCCCTTCCTCCCTCCCTCCCTCCCTCCCTCCTTCCTCCACATCTCCTACCTCCCTCCCTCCCCTCCCTCCCTCCTTTGCTCTCCTGCCTCCCTCCTCATCCCTCTCGGACCTTCCTGCTCCATTCTGGCATCCTCTTTTCTTGATCACTCCTCCTCTCTGCTTCTCATCCTCCTCCTCCCGCTCACCACCTGCTCACTTTCCTACCAGGTCGAGCAAGAGGACGGGAGCTGCGTGCATCTGCGAGGCCTCGGGCAGCTCTCCGTCCTCGACAAGGGAGGAAGCAAAGAATTTCATTTTGATACGACATACGGGCCCAAGAGGTGAAAGGATTTCTCTGCCAGCCCTCTACCTCCTCTTCTCTCCTCTTCCTCCTCGTGTTCCCGTCCCCCTCTCCTCACTCCTCTTCCTCCCTCTTCCTCCCTCCCCCTCTCCATCTCTCCTCGTCCTGCTCCCTCCCCTCCTCTCTCTGTACTCCTCTCCCTCCTCGCATCATCCTCCTCCCTCTCCTCCCTCCGTTTCCCTCCCCTCGCGCCGCCATCGCACTCACTGCGATCTTCAGCACACAGGAAGAGCTCTTCGACGACGCGCGCGCGCTGCTGCAGACGGTGGTGGACGGGTACAACGTGAGCGTCTTCGCCTACGGGCCCACGGGGAGCGGCAAGACGTACTCCATCACAGGAGGAGGGGGCAAGCACCGGGGGATGGTGTACCGCATGCTGGAGGACCTGTTCCGCACACAGAAGGAGAGAGCTGTGCTGGTCAGCCTGCAGGTGGGGAGGGAGGAGGAGAGGAGGGTGCGACTGTGCGGGAGGGGGAGGAGGGGAAGGGAGGGGAGGGGAAGGGGGCAGGCGGGGGGGTACAGGAGGAGGGGAGGGTTAGAAGATGGAGGAGGGGGAGGAGGGGGAGGAGGGAGGAAACTGACGGAGGAGGAACAGGTGAAGATTTCCATGTTCGAGATCTACAACGAAAAGATCAAGGATCTGCTGTCGGGCGGGGTTGGGGAGCAGGAGGAGCTTCGGGTCAGCACCGACAAGCACGGGAGCGTTCACGTGGAGGGGCTGAAGGAGCATGCGGTGGAAAGTCTGCAGAAGGGGATCGGCCTGCTGGAGCTGGGGATGAGCGTCCGGGCGACGGGAGCCACCAACCTGAACGAGCACAGTAGCAGGAGCCACCTGCTCGTCCGGCTTGCGGTGTCGGGGCAGGACAAGAGGACGGGGGAGAGGACGAGCGGAAAGATGTACCTGGTGGACCTGGCGGGAAGCGAGAACGTATCGCTGAGCGGAGCGGAGGGGAAGGCGCTCAAGGAGGCGATCGGGATCAATCGCTCCCTCTCTGCCCTCCATGACGTCATGCTCTCGCTGTCGTCCAAGGTCCTTCAAGCTTCCCGCTTCTCCTCACCGCCTCCTGTCCCTAAGACTCTTCACCTTTGTCTCCTCCTCTCTCTCCTATCTACGTACTTCCCGGCAACTCCAACCCACTTCTGCTCCTCCTCCTCCTCCTCCTCCTGTCTCACTTCTCCCTCCTCCCTGCTTCCGCGTCTCCTCCTTCCCTCTCATCTCATCTCATCTTCAGGATCACCACATCCCGTACCGCAACTCGCTGCTCACCAGAGTTCTGTCCGACTCGCTCGGCGGGCAGGTGACTCGAGAGGAGGAGGAGGAGGAGGAGGAGAGGAGGAGAGGAGGA